CCTATACCCCCAAGCATAGGGAAGTTAAAGACCCTTCAACACCTTGACCTTAACGGGAACAACCTAAGTGGCCTAATTCCGGATTTCCTTAGCCAACTTCAAGACCATGAGTACCTTGATCTTGGATCCAACAATCTTATAGGCCAAATTCCTTATTCACTTAGCAAACTACACAAGCTTAAGCTAGTCTCCCTTGCCTCAAACCACCTATCCGGTCACATCCCAGCCTTCTTTGGCTATATGAAAAACTTAAGTGAACTTTACCTCCTCGACAATAAGCTCACTGGCCCTATCCCACCGTCCCTCTATCAACTCCCTAACCTATTCGCGATCAACCTTGGCCTAAACCAGCTCACCGGCTCCATCCAGCCTCCTTTGGCTCCTTCAAAACCCCTGTAATAAATTACTTTTCCATATACTACAACAATTTATCCGGACCAATCCCAAAGTCATTTGGGAAGGCTAACATCATCGAGCTAAATCTCTACCACAACAAGTTCACAGGAGACGCCTCGTTTTTGTTTTCTAGGGACAAGACAGCTTTAACCACCCTAACCATTGATCATAATCTCTTTAGCTTCAACTTCTCTAAGGTTGATCTTCCACAAAATTTGGCACATCTTGACGTAAGCCATAACAAAATTTATGGATCTCTTCCTAAACGACTAGGCCAATTGCCGTTAAAGAGTATAGACGTGAGCTTTAACCAGCTTTGTGGGCAGATACCAACTGGTAGGCGGTTAAAACAATTCAAACCAGCCATGTTTTCAAATAACAAGTGCTTGTGCGGTCCACCATTAGCGCCATGCAATTAGTACACTTTTAGTGGATCATTCCCATCATGGCCTATGTATTTTTAATAACATAATGCGCTATAGTGTGTGAGCAATTGAGCATAACTATAGTAAATGAATTGAAGTGTTGCATATATTTTGTTTTTTTTTTTTTAAAAAAAAGAAAATTATTACATATATATCTTAAAGCTTTTGTTGAATGTCAATGAAAATTGTCTAAATTACTACTCTTTTTTTTTTGTTATTTTCACTTACTCGTTTTGTCACATGAAAATGCTTTAGTGTTACTATATATAATGCAAGTGAGCAGAGCGCGCGCGCGCACACACACACAAAAAAAAAAAAAAAAAAAAAAAAAAAACAATTGAGAATACTAATTACTCCATCTATCTCAAAATAAATTATCATGGATAAATATGACACACATGTCAATGCAATACTAGTCTGACCTAGTTAGGGTACCGGTGTTAAATCTTCGAGCGGAGCTCGAATAGTGGTATGCTCGGCTTGAGCTCGTTTCTCACAAAGGGGCTCAAGATCGAGCTCTAAGCTCTTCGAGCTTCAGAAACTTAGGCTCACCTCGAGCTCAAGACTCCAAAACCAACTTCGGCTAGGCTCAAAGCTCGGCTCAAGCTCAAAGTTTTTTTAGTTTATTTGTGCTTGGCTCAAGCTCAACTACTAGCTAGACTTCAACCTCCTAGTATTGGCTTCTTGAATTGCCATAGTTGAGTAGACACGATGAACGCTTATCAAAGATGAGTAGATGACGGTGAGCACTAATTAGCGGTGAGTAGATGACGGTGAGCACTAATCAACAATGAGAATGTTAGTTGAGACGATTAATACAAGAGGGGGGGTGAATTGTATTGAGTATCTAATGACTACTTTTTGCGGATAAGTAAACAATGCATATAGGAACTTAAGAAAACACACAGATTTTACGAGGAAACCTTCCAGGACCAACTGGAAGTAAAACCTCGACCCTACCTTACGGATTTCAAACACAAAACACTTTACTATAATAGGGCAAACACCAAGTTACAACCTATTAGACACAGACCTTTATTTCACAAGTTCCTCACTGAACTTGCTACTTGATAAGACCCTATCCTACACAATCTAAGCACCACACTTAGATTCAATCTTACCACCAAAGTACAACTCGTACTGCCAAAGCACAAAACACTCGTACCACCCCAGTACAAAACTCACAGCCTCACCAAGAAGCTAACACAAAACTGTATGTAATACAAACTATAAATATCACCCAAATAACCCAACAAATACAAATATAAGACGCCTATTATGATAGGTAAGCAATGCACGAAAACCGAAACTAATATGATAAGTTAAAAGCTTGGTAAACTTACTCAATTAAAGCACTGTGATTTCTCCACGCATAAACTCACAAAAACCTAATTCATTTTGTTCTCTACTATTTATACAAGTAACACTTGTATAGAAAGTGGGTTTTCTAAAAAGATAAATATGTTAACTTAACTTATCTTTTAAACACGGTTTTAGCAAATCAAGTGAAATAAAATCTTTTCCGAAAATAAGTATAAAAAGATATTTATTAAGAATACTTATCTTTCTTAATTAACCGACTTTAGAGAAAAATAATCTTTTTAGAAAATCTTTTCCTAAAATCTATCTTTTATTATTTTCCATATTTATTTTATTTACCAAGCAAACTTATCACGTTTCTAATAAATTTCGTGCACTAACCTACTTACCATATTAACAATAATTTCTAAGAATAAAACCTTAACTATTATTGCTGCGCCGCACTCTGATCAGGTAAATTACTTGGGCTCCAAGCATATCAAGTTCCTCCAAAGAACTTAACTGCCAGTCTTCAAGTTCCTGTTAGGGAACTTAGCTCTTGTTAGAGAACTCTTCCTCTGATTTGTTTAACTTCTTCAATAAAGATCTTCTTCATGTATTCTTAGATTCAGATGGTTCTTCAATCAACAAGATTATTCTGCACCTTGACTAATCACACACTAGAGAAACTTTATTAGTTGAGTTTGCTTTTAGTTCAAGTTCCTCATCATAAAAACCATTATGCTTCAATAGAGAAGAAGATGGTAAGCACTAATCGATGGAGAGTAGATGATGATGAACACTAATCGACGAAGGAAGTTCACTATGAGAGAAAGTGAAGTTGTGCTTGTTTGAGTGTTTGACGGGAATGGGATGACGGATGTGCGTGAGATTTCTGTGGACTGTGGAGCAGTGAAGTTGTGGAGCTTTAGTTAGGGTTAAAACAAACTATGAGCTGTAAACCACAATTGTAAATTTTAAACCTCGCTAACAATAAAAATTTACTTTCTCCATTTCTATTTATTTGACTAACATTCCTATAATAGAATTGTCATATTACTTGACCCATACTATATGTTGAGTAATAAGGTTTTGATGATTGTAAACTAATGATGATTATCTATCTAACATGTTTGTTGAGTTGTGCATAGAGAGAACAAGTTATGCTTGTATCCTGAGCAATGTCACGTATATATATAAGGAACCTAAGCAATATATGATAAGCAATAGAGAAACAAGAACAATGATGAGTGTCATGGTTGATAAGCATGATGATGGCTAAAGAACCATGAAGGTAACTATGTAAATAGGTGTTTGCATATGTTAGCTTCATGAGGTAAGTACACTATGCATACATGAGTTGTATATGTGTAGAAGTATTTACATAAGCTTTAAGTTTAATTAGTTCTCTCACTTGAAGTTTGTTTATGACAAACAAACTTCAATCTAATGTTTCTCTTAAGTGTTTATGTGAAAACAGGAACAGACTTAGGTGAAGTCAAAGGGTTGGAACATAGAAGACTTCAAGAGGAACAAGAGAGAATGAATGAATCTAAAGCAGGTTCTTCCACAAGAACTAAACCACGAAGGAAACTGAAGGTATTCTCTAACAAGAACCTTTCAGCAGGCTTTCCCACGAGAGCCGGAGCATGTTCCCTAACAGGTACATGAAGTGTTTCTTAACAGGTACACACAAGGATCGGAGCTTCCTAACAGAAGCATGACAGCAAGCTAAAGAGTGAAGCTTGTACTGTAAAGATGACAGCAAGTTCCATAAAGGAACCTGGTCTGCGAGTTCCAATAAGGAATGAAAAAGAGTGACAGCAAGTTCCAGTTAGGAACTTGGTCTGCAGTTCCAGAAGTGGAACGTTGCCCCGAGATCTAGAATACATCAATACTACAAGATTCAAGAACAAGAGTTTCAAAGAAACAACATGAAGACGGAGAAATCGAAGTATATCGATCTAGGATTCGTGTAAGTATGTTGCACATAAAAATCAGTCTGGAACAAGTCTAAAAAATCAAGGTGAACTCATGATAATCAATGAAATTAGAGTTACTAACTTGTCAGGAACTTTCAGAGTTCCGAAACCTAATCGGAACTTAGGTTTGCCTGTCGTTAAAGGTCTCAGGTCGAAATTAATAATATAAATATTTACCTAATACGTGCATATCTTTTATGGATTTGATTTTACAGAGTAAAGATATTTATTTTCTAATAAATCCCTTTGGAAAAAGATAAGTTATTTTTGGAAAATATTTTCAGCAAAATAAGTTTTAATAAAATCTAATTTTATGGTAAGTATATCTTTTGTAAAAATATATGGTAAGTATATCTTTTGTAAAAAGATATATTAGTATATATTTGAAAAATATAAGATTTAGATAAAATCTGATTTTAATAGTAGAAAAAATGCTATTTGTAACTGGCTAAATTGACTTTTTGTAACTGGCATTGTTGGTTGCGAATGCCACCGTTACAACTAGTGAAAATTATTCGTAACTAGCTAATGTTAGATACAAATAATGTACTATTTGTAACTGGCTTTACCTAACGTCAGTTACAAAAAGTCTATTTTTCAAGTTACAAAGCATACTATTCGTAACTAGCGTTAAGTTACGCCAGTTACAAATAAAGTATTATTTGTAACTGGCATAGCTTAATGCCAGTTACGAATAGTGTTTTTTTTTTTAAAAAAAAAAAATTAAATAAATAAAATGGAAGCAGTAGCAAATTTCTCTATTGCCACCACCCGACCCGTTCATTATTTATTTTAATACGAAGATCATAAATTATTGATAAACTTTAGTAAAATATAATCATTATCAATCTAACCATTATAAGGCCAAATTTAAGTGACATCTACATATACATGGTTAGATTACAAACATGCATGTCTCTCACATTTCACAATAAATAATACTCTATAACTACAAAAGCTAGTTAGTAGAATGATACAATGATAAACCTTCAAATCTTGACAATTTTCTAAGCCTGTTCAAATTATTTTCAGCTGTAAAGGACATGTCATCCTAAAAGAAAACAGTGATAAGAGATGTACAATAAGCTAAACAAAATATATAGAATGTCTTGTAGAAATCATCCTCTTGTAAGCACGTTCACCCTTTTGAAGGTGCTTGTAGAATAAGCTTAAAATATTAATAATTCCTGTATCCAAAATCCACTACTTGTCAAATGGTTACCTCATATACCAATCTCAAAGAATATCAAAAATCTTAGCTCATGGAAAATCTAACAATGTTCCAACAATAAAAACAAATTGATTTCTCAACTTTTTGAACATTACAAGGCCAATGCAAGGAACTATGAAATGAAATTAGTTAAGTTGGACGGGAGGGAGGGAACTCCACAGATGCATCCACAAAGACAATACATAATAAGCTCTACCAAGAGCGCAACTATAATGATAAAAAATTTGAAAGCCTAACCCCAAGAGTATTCACCTCAGTAATAGAAAATTATTGAAATAAGGAAGATGCAACATAAAACTATACAAGTATATGCTCCAAATGATAGGATCTATCCATCAAAAAAAAAATAAAAAAAAATAAGTAGAATGATGAGACTGACCTCAATACCTCAGGATATAGAGCACAAAGTATCCTATATATGAAGCCATCATGTCACTTTCTACTAATTCAAGAGGGAAAATAGATACCAAATTTTTTACTCTGTATAAGAAATTCCTGCAAAACAGAGGAAAGCAATACAACATTAGAAATTTGAGTACATACTCATAATCTCTGTGCCTTTTAGTCAATAGAAATTAATCATGCTAGTACACTATACTAATATTGATAAATCTATTTTTTTTTTTCTGCGACAATAAGGGATAAAGAAATTTGTGCAATGCAATCACCAGACCAATCTGAAAAATTAAGTGAGTTCAATTTGTCTATAGCTTCAAGGCCTTCAACTAATCTCTACACTTGACAACACAATTTCTTTGCCTCTCCACATGAGCAGATGTAGGAGTTCAAGTATGCACTTTAACAAAACAAACTAAAGCTTATTTGGTGGAAAAAAGTTTTCTGTATAGTGATCAAATAGTGATAAATTAACACATACGAAGTATTATATTAAGAGAAGACATACAACGAGCATAGAGTAATAACTTAACCGATTTTATATCAATAGCATACAGAGAGCAAATAGATACTATGCATTGTACATATTATTTAATGAGAATTTTTCATGTAGGAGGCACTCACCATTCTTAATCTTACCTAGTGTAGAAACAGAATATCCAATTCACTCATAAAACTAGTATCCAATTTAAAAAATAATGGAAGAGATTATGACTTGAATACTACTTCGTAATAGATAATGATGTTAATCAAGGACAAAGAAGCAAGAAGAGCTTGCGCAAAGGAATGTGCTAGTTTGCTAGTGTCTCCATATTAGAAACACATCAAGTCGGATGTTTAAAATAATCATAACTAGCAAGCTTAAGTTAACAAGATGGCTATGTATTAATTAACCTGTATAATTGCTCCATTAGCACAACTAAAGCAATCTGATGATTTAATACCAATGACTATAGCTTATTAGTCTATTAGTCTAGCTTAATTTCATAATTATGAATTAATAAGATAATTATGAATCAATAAAACTTATTAGTCTAGCTTAATTTCATAATTATCTCAAAATATTATCAAAAAATCAGCATTTTCCAATGTATACATGCTACTATGCTAGTAACTTGCATTGTTAATAACTAGAGCATGTCAACTTTGTTTCCCTTAAAACAGTGATAATTAAATTGACAAATTTCTCAAAGAAGTATAAAATCAAACACACAATATATCACGATCAAAGAATTTTCTCAGAATTGCCATATCGAATCTTCTATCCCTTCAAATTATACAACAAGACACCGGTTTAGAAATTACCAAGATCAATTTCACTCTTGCGCTCGAAACTATCGCCACTACACCCAGATCCTCAAAAGTGGATCTTCTTTGATGCCAGATCACTCTGAACCCCAAGTTTGAAACTTTTTAGTTATAAAACCAATTAAAAACTTGGTTTCAAAAAAAATAAATAAAATAAAACCTCAAAATTTCCATTAAATTGAATTAACAAACAAAAGAACAAACCCTAGAAATCTTTTTAGTTCTTTTATTTTATCAAATAATCGCATATAATTAATCAAAAATTCATAAACTAGGAGGAGATCGAGAGCATACCTTGATGATATTCTTGATGAATAAGTTTTAGAGGAGTTTTTAGAGCAGTTTGATAGGGGGAGAGAGAGAAGTTGCGACTTTATGTGAAAAAAAATGCGTAAAAGGATTTAAATGAATACGGGTAAAGGTAAGAGGAATTACAGACTACTACTGTACTAATTTCCACAAAAAAAAAAAAAAAAAGTTAAATTAGTAACCTGACTTATTATTTGTAACTAGCCTTCTTTATTTTCATTACTACTAGTTGGCAACCTATCATTGATCTACTACTTGTAACTAACCTTTGTTATGTCAGTTACTAATAGTATTTTATTTGTAACCAACACTTTCTATGTCAGTTACTAATACTCTTGTTGTAACTAACATAAATTAAGCTAGTCACAAATAGGGGTTACAAATAGCAATTTTTCTACTAGTGATTATTATTATTGATAGAATATATTCTTAACAAAAGATATATTTTTGGAAAATATCTTTTATTTCTATCTTTTAATAAAACTTATCTTTTACGAAAAGGATGATTTGGGTGTATAATAAATATGCTCATATGTATTCATTCAAAGTTGAGGCTGACGAAACTTAGTGGTCGTGTTTAATGGTTTCATCCTTCACCACGAAGCTAAGTCAAACCTCCAGGTCAAAGCTCCAGTCAGGTTTGATTTCAGTTCGTATAGTAAGTTCTAGATAGATCTTGAATGTCCAACATACTAGTTTTATCTCTTTATTCATTGATATGTATTTAGAGTTATTCTTTGAGATCTTGTAATTGGGAAAAAAGGTTTTGAGTGTTTTATGTATTGGGGTGTGAGAGTTCATGAGGATTCTCGTTTTTATAATATTGTATTGTAAAAGTGCAATGTGTGAACTTTTAGGGTGAAGCCGAATGAGCTTCTAATGAGAGGCCGAGTGTAAGCACTTTGGGAGTGATGAGTGAATCTAAGTTTGGGACTGAGGTTGGGTAAGATAGGGTTTTATTGTGTAGCAAGTTCAGTCAGGAACTTGTGAGAAAGGTCTGTTTGTAATAGGTTTGTAACTAGGAGTGTTTGGCCTATTATAGTGGATTAGTTTGGCATGAAATCCCTTGCAGAGTCAAGATTTTACTTCCAGTTGGGCCCTGGATGGTTTCCTCATAAAATCCGCTTTGCATTGTCTAAGTTCCTAACAACAATCAGTTTCATATTCCGCAAAAAGTAGGCACTAGGAACATACTACAATTCACTCGGCCCCCCTCTTGTAGTATATCATCCGAAATAACACTATATTTCATAAACTTTTGGTAGATAAATTCTTTAAGATACCCTCATAAAGTGCACATAGAGACAACTTTTAGGGGTAAAAAGGCAAGTCATGAGCAATCAGGGCCACAAACTACATTTTATGTCTCCTCTCCTTAAATATTGTGTCAAAGGCTATGGGTCAAGTAAATAGATACGGAGAAAGTTTTAGTGTAAAACTTTATAGAATTTATTACGAGTACAAAAATATAAATTTATCGAGCTCAAATAGTTCACGAATAGCTCGGTCTCATTATCATTTCTAGTCTGATCTGACCTTTATTATATAAATAATTAATTTAGTAAAAATGTTAAAAAGTTGATGTTATGAGACTTTATATTAATAATTATTTAATAACATATTTCATGATAAATTTTATTTTAAATATCGTATTAAAAAAACTAGGATAAAAGTAAGTCTATGAATAGTTAAAAAAAATAATAAAAAAAAATCAACATTTCAATTATCTTGGAGCAGATGGAGTAGCAAACTTTTCTCTTTCTAAATTATCATCTTTTACTTGTGCTGGCTTCTGTGAATTACCTAAGCGTGAGCAGGTATGAAAATGCTTATGAACTACAATTTGTGGTATAGAACAAAGCATTTTCACTTGAGCAAGAAATTTGTTTTATATATTTGAAAAGATACAGAAAGGTTATACACTTGAGCAAGAAATTTCTATTTTACAAACCCTTGGTAGTACGTTATCTTTGATACATAATCTGGGGGTAAATTGCCCACCGTATGGCTTATTACAACATGTGGGCACGTAGAACCGTAGAAGACTATCTTTTACGCAGTCAATCAGTTATGCGCATGCAAGTGGACGTCTAAGGATAAGTGGACTGGCGGCGGCTTCTAGAGGGATTACTCGTATTATTCAAGGTGGGTTTACTCTCTCATTAATGTGTTATAGGCTTATAGCATAACTATAGTCATATTGCTGTTCTCATCAATAAAATATAACTTGCCTAAAACAATTTTTATTATTAAGGAAAATTTGTAAAAAAAAAATTTTTAAAAAAATCTTTTAAATGCACCATTTTGTGAGAAAAAACCTTTTAAAAGCTTTATCGTTAAAAAAAAATCTGGAATTTAAAGTTTTTGTTTAAAGAAACCTAGCGCCACTAATTATTTTTTTAACATCTAATTTTTTCTAATCACCTTCTAACGATCACTTAACCATTGATAATTAGATTAATTTATAAATAAATACAAAATAAAATAAAACCCCCCCACTTCCCCACCATGGCAGCAGCTCCCTCCCCTTGTTGAGCCACCAGAATCGCTACCCCCATCCCAAGAAAACCACCCTAGCCACACCTTATCGCTAGCTAGCCTACTCCCGTCGTCAACACCCACAACAAAACCGCCCTACTCCGATTACTCGCTCGCTGGAGAAACCTCGCGGCGCCACGTAGCTCTACTCTATTGGAAATTCTCCGGCTTCGGGACTGTAAAGTATCACATCAATGACGGACATGGCGGTGTAAGGAGGAGAGAGAAATTCGAAGTTAGGATTGATAAATTAGGGTTTTTGTGAGATAATTTTGGGAATTTAAGAGGGAGAAGCTATTGATGATAACCTAAATTGAGGAGAGAAAAAGATGAAGTTAGGATTTTTTTAGGAGGAAATTGATGAAGAAGATGAAGAAGAAAAGAGAGGGTAAGGGGATAAGGGAGGGGGTAGCCGGCGGTGAGGGACCTAGGCGGCGGCTCAGTCGGTGGTGGGGGCTGCTGCCATGGGAGGGGGAAATGGAGTGGGTTGGCTATTGGTGGTAGGGGTTCTGGTTTTTATTTATTTATTTATCAATTAATTTAATTATCAAATGATTAAGTGAATATTAGAAAGTTATTAGAAGAAATTAAATGTTAACTAAGTGAATTAGAGGTAATTGTTTGTCTTCAACAAAAAAAATAATAAATCGGGATTTCTTTTGCCAAAAAGCTAAAAATTGAGTTTTTTATAACAAAAAAACCTTTGGAAAGGTTTTTTCGTAAAATGGTGTTTTTATAAGTTTTTTTTTTTTGACAAATAGAAGCATGAACTAAGTAAAAAAAAGTAGCAAAAGTAAAGTTTTTAGACAACAGATGAAAATAGATACAACTAACAAACAGGATATCCAGATGGCTAGGACTAAGTAGTAGACGGGCTACCAAGAGCAGAGAGATCTGCTTCAAATGCTGCAATAACACTGGTTGGGATGAAATAATGAGGCTTATGACCAAGATGTATATCCATAGCATACTGACCCAGATAGTGAGCTAACTGATTCCAATATCTAGGAATATGATTAAAAATGATAACCATGTCCCTATTTATTAGCATCCTTCCTATGTCGATGGTCACAGCAGCAAGTTCATGCTGAGAGTTATCAGCTTCCTTATCCATCGGAGCATTTATAGCCTTTGCATCAATTTTGATTTCCAGGCACTGAATGGGAAAAGCTATTGCATAATTCAATCCCCACTTTAAAGCATGAAGCTCAGTTGTTAAAGCACAAGGGGCATGTATTCGCTGGAGTACCCAAAGTAACAAGTCCCTTTCTCAGTTCTAAAGACTCCTCCACCTCCACCTTCAGTAGTGCTCTTCTAAGCTCCATCTGTGTTATTCTTCAGGAAGCTAAGCCAGGCCTTGGTGGTGTCCAACTAGATGAAGTTGAAGAAACTGAAGCACCAAGATCCCTAACTTTCTCCTTACCCTTTGAACCACCCTGCAAAACAAATGTGTTGATTTGGTAATCTAAAATGAATTTGTTAAACAAAATTGCAATTATAGACTTCTTTTTTTGAAAATGATTCCATTTCTGAGTTTCCAAATTTGCCACATTCCCATAAGCAAAATGCATCTCCATTTCTGAGATTGTTTAAAATTGAAAGTTAGTCAATCCTCCTAATTGGAATTCATAAAAGAAGAATAATCAAAAGAGAGAGGAGGCTTAAGCTTTAGGGCTTGTTCTCATACGTTTATTTTCGATTCAGTTCAGCTCAGTTCAGTTCAGATCGGTTCATTTCATTTCAGTTCAGTTCAATTCAGTTCAGCTCAGCTCCTAATTTCCTTCTCTTATAAAAAAATTCATTTCAGTTCAGTTCAGTTCGGTTCAGTTCAGTTCAACTGATTTCAGTCTATTAGAACAGGCCCTTACTATGATCATCTTCCACGGGATAATACAAGAGTGACCATCTCAAAAAATATGAATGAAAATTTTTGAGTGTGAATTGCATCTTGAACAAATGGGATCAAAATTAGGGTACTTTGAAGCTAGAAGGGAAGCAGTAGGGATGCAATTCCGCATAAAAACTTTGTATTTGAAAGGAACCTTAAGTTTCCAGAAAATTTTTCCAATTTAAATCAAAACTTTGTTATAGATATATAGTTCGTATTGGAGTAATAGAATAATTAATGTAGAAGTGAGCTTTTACTATATTTGAAAATTCTAATATAGTCTTATAACTTTTGACCATCATAATTTTTTTTAAATGGACGATTGAATTTATTTATTTTTAATCAGTAATTTTAATTATAAATTATTTTTTAATTATTTTATAGATATAAATATATTTACAATAATTTTTAATAAAAATATAAATAATACCAACCGAACATTTTAAAAAATTGTGGTAGTCAAAAGTCATAAAACTACATTAGAATCATCTTTACTATATACTACAAGTGGAATACACCCCAACTCTTTGGATATAAGAATAATTCAAAATTTATCCAATTATATTGAAGTTACTTTTAATATTTTTAACTAAATGGAGTACTTGTGATTGGAATTTCATACATAATATATTACCTCTGTTCATTTTTACTAGACATGTTTCTATCATCACGCTTGTCAATGCAAAAGCGATCAATAACTTTAATTATCCATAAGTACAATAGTACTTTTTGAGATGAATTTAAAAAGATCTACAAATATATTTTTCCTCGCATATTATTCACAAAAGATGGTAAAAAAAAAAGTTATGAATAGTGTAAAAGTGAAAGCAAGTCAAGTAATTATAATTGATTGTAATTTTAAGTCATATCCCAAAATAAGTCAAACAAACTACTGTAGTACCGGCTTGTGCTATTCTTTTTAAAACAAAGTTGATGTGTGTTGTTCTTCCATTAATACCGCCCATGCACGGCTAGAAGTCTAGATTTAGGTGTTGATCATGTTGTACTCGTACCTTAATAGTTTTCCGAAAATTTGATAACAGAAAAAAAATCTAGAGGACCATCCAATTCATGGCCTAGCCTGTCATGCTAATTTTGATAATATGCGTGGCCCATATATTCATTGTGCTACTTAGGCGGCGGGTCATTCCTCATAGCATTGAAGGCAATGCATAGATCACTTATTTGGTAACATTGTGACATAAGGGCTGCCCTAGCACAGTTGCACCCTCACAAGTCCCAACCCACTAGAATTTGTTATATATATATATGATATATCCGAATGTATCGTACATCTGTAAAAGTTGCTCATTATTTTTTGCTCATTTAACAAATAAGTATTTATTTTTTTTTTACTCACTTATAAAATGAGCAAAAATTAATGAGCAAATAACCCGGGTATACCGTACACTTGACCGGATGTACAAAACAGACTCTCCCAACCCATTAACCACCCCCCTCAAAAGAGCATTATTTTGCCAATGAGAAATATTTCCAGTGAATTTGACATTTTACATTTATGTGATAAACCGGTAATAACATAACCAGTGGCGGAACTACAGAGTCACAAGGGGTAGCACGTGCTAACCCTGAAAAAAAAATTAAAAAAAAAACGGAAAAAAAAACAATGGTTTCTGCTATTCTGCTTTCTCCTTCTTCGCAAAATACAACCCTAACCCCTCTTCACCTCTTTCTCTCTCTTCGCCCCTTCTCCTTCCTCGGTACTCCAGACCTCCAGTCTCCAGATCTGGCGACCGGCGACGGCTAGTCACTCCTATTCTCCTTTTTGCTTTGTTGAAGCTTGAAGAATTGAAGTTCCTCTTTTCAAGTTCCCTGCTCAGTCACGGTCTCAGATCACGCCTCACAGAGTCACCGATTCACGACCCAAGTTCTTCTCGTCGGCAAGTCGGCGACCTAACGGGGTGACGGTGTTCAGGAGTCACTTTTCAGTGTTCTCGGCCTCCAACTCCTCCAACTCTCCAATGCTCCAATTAAGGTCCCCTTCTTTCCTTTCTCTTTTGTTTCAAACTTTCAATAAGGTTCTTTTTTTGTTGGTTAGAATTTGAGATTTTGAGTATGAAATTATGAATTCAATTATGAATTGAAATATTGAATAATTGAATTGATAATTGAAATGATCTGAAGATTTGAAGTAATGAAGTATAATGTTGGTGTTTGCCTGTTTATATAATAATGGAATTGACCAAATTTGCTTTGTTGAATTGTTGATGAATTTAACTTGCTGATTTATGAATTGAAGTTGTTAATTGTTATGTAGATGAATTAAATTTGCTAATTGCCTATTGCCTTACTCACTTACTGCCTAGTTAAAGTTCTATTTTTTTTTTTTTAATTCAATTGAAGCTGTGTGTAATGATGATTGAAGTATTGAACTTGCAAATATGATAATAATGATATATGTTCTGATAAAACATAATAATGCTACAGATTTCAGAAATCTAATTCAATGAAGAGATCCCAAGAAAGAAGTATTTCTAGTTTTTTTTCAAAAAGAACACAAAGAGAACCACTTGATAATCATCCTTCCAACCATCAAAACCCACCAAATTATGAAAATCCTCCTTTGTTTCATCAAAATCCACAAAATTCTAAAGAATCTCAACGAGCTTTCTATGAAATTAGTTGAGACGAAAAAGTATCGAAATCATCAAAAGGTGTACTTGCTGTTGAAATTAGTATTGCTTCTTCCCGTGGCTACTGTAACTGTTGAAAGAGCATTTTCCGGAATGACTCAAATCAAAAGCAAGCTACGAAATAGCATGGGAGATGGTTTGTTGAATGACACCTTAGTTACTTATTTAGAGAAAGATTTGTTCTTGAATGTAAGTCTTGATGCAATTGTAAATCGATTCCAAAATATGCAAACTCGTCGTGAACATTTGTAATTTTTTTTAAGTACTTGTGTTGTAATGTAATAACATACATTCTATGTACTTTTTAAATTTGATTTTGTATTGATTAATTTGTCTTGACTCATTTTTAACTTAGTATACGTTGCGCTACCCCTGTCCCTAAATCCTGGATCCACCACTGAGCATAACATAATAGTGGACCATATAGAGATCGAGAACTTAAGGGTACACCATATCTTATTCAAATCTTGGATATTAATATATATAATCTATTTTGTAAGGTCTACCCGTAGAATAAATCCAAACTCGACAAGATATTATGCTTCTATAAATAACCCCTTTAAAATCATCATTCTATACCCAAATTTACTTAACTCCTTACTGTTTAAGTCAATTATCATCACAATGCCGACGCTTCTAAAACTCTCTCTCATATATTTCACCCTCCTCTTCTCATACCTCACCCTTACTACCGCCACCGACTTTCCACCATGCAACGCCCAGGACAAGGCCGTCCTCCTAAAAGTCCGCGATCACTTCGGCGGCCCTAACGGCCGCCTCTCGGACTGGGAAAACGACACAGACTGTTGTTCAGAATGGAGTTTCGTGGCATGTGGCACGAGCGGCCGTGCATACGGCCGCATCGATTCTGTCACATTCAGCCGCTCATGGGGCCTTTCAGGCACCATACCTTCAGACTTCGGTGATCTGCCTTACCTCGGCTTTTTTATTCTAGCAGATAACATTAACGTCACAGGAACTATCCCCAAGTCTTTTGGCAAGCTCAAGAATCTCTATCACATCGAACTCGACACGAATAGCTTAACCGGGCCTATCCCCAATGAGCTGTTCAAGTTGAAGAAGCTCAAGGAAGTCGATCTCTCCGCTAACCAACTATCGGGTCCGATCCCACCGTCTGTTACTTCATTGTTGTCTCTCTCGCAGTTTAATGTCTCCCACAATAAGCTTTCCGGTTCCATACCGCCGATGCCGAAGAGTTTGAAGAGCATTGATGTGAGTAACAACCAGCTTTGCGGCCCCATTCCTAGTGGTTTGAAGGGGTTCAAGCGAGCTAGTTTTGAACATAATAAGTGCCTTTGCGGTCCACCTTTGGCTGCTGGATGCAAATAAATGGCTTATTAATTTATAATAGTTGGAGTGAAAATTTTAATTTTGGTGAGAAATAAGCTTCCGTTTAGACTGTACATGCTAAAAATTGGGCCGTTTTAGCAAGGATATAACAAGTACTCGGTTGTGGGCTTTATTATATAAAACAGACTTCAAGTCTAGAAGTAAGATTAATTTTGTATCTCAATTTATGCCATTTTGATTCCTTTTTTGATCCAGATGATCGATCTTAAGAGTCCCAACTTTCGTGGTATTATGTAGTATATTAAATTATTCAAGCCTCGGATCAACATATTTATCATTTCCTATTGTTTACTCAAAAGTGTAAAAACCATACTCGACCCGACCCAATATCTCGAAAAATATCCGAATTTATTTAAATTCCGATTTGCATAAATATAATAATTTAACATAAGTACATAACTCAAGTTTTAAGAAAGATTCGATCTAATCCAGCTTTACTAAACTCAACTCAGTCATCCCAATTAACACCGCTAATTTAAATCATTATTCTGTCTTGTAAACCTCTGTCTGATTATTTTTTAGGCCATACACACAAGGCCAAGTAATAAACCTTTGTCTGATTATTTTTGAGGCCATAATAACAATCATAGATATGTTTCACACAAGGACAAGTAATACAGCTATGTCTGGTTATTTTATTTTGGTCATAATACCAATCATAGAGAGGTTTCACATAAGGACAACTCTGGACAAGTATGACAATTGAACATGCACCTATATATTTAATACTAGTGTCTGTTCTAATTTACTTAAATGAGCTGAATAAAACTGAATTGATTGGAATTGAACTGAACTGAACTAAACTGAATATTTTATGAAAAAAGGAAATTAAGAACTAAACTGAACTGAATTGAATTTATTAGAGTTGAACTGAACTGAATTGAAAATAAGTTGAAGAGAACAGGCCCTTACTCCCTTCATGTTTAAATAAATGAAACGTTTGACTTTTACGGAGTTTTAGAAAGGTTAGTTAAATTTATTACAATAATAAGTAGGAAATTTTGCAAAAAATCACCTTTAAAATCTTATTTTTTTTTGCATACACTAGTAGAAAAATACAAAAAGGCACCGCTCTATGGCCACCGGTTTTTAAAAACCGGTGGCTTAAAAAATGGGCGGGATAGGCTAATTCACATTGCCACGGGTTCAAACCGAACCGGTGGCATAAATGGTAAAGGCCACCGGTTTGAACCCGTGGCAATAATCAATTAAAAAAAACGCCCCCCTTATAAACCCCAAACCCTACCTCATTTCCCTCTGAGCCGTTCTTTCTCTCTCCTGCTCTCCCTTCTCCTCTCTCTCTCCTGCTCTCCCCTTTCTTCTTTCTCTTTCAATTCGACTGCTCTGTTCTCTTGCTCTTCTCCTTCGTCTCCTTCTCCCTCATCTCCTTCGTCTCCCATCACCAATAAACCACAAAGACATGCATCACGAAGACATGCATGAGGTTTGTGTTTAAAATCGATTTTTCTTGGTTAATTAATCGGATTTTGTTGGGTTTAATTGATTGATTTTCTGGGTTTAATTAATCGTTTTTGGAATTGTTTGAGTTTCTTAATCGATTTTAATTTGCTTTTAATCGATTTTAATCAATTAATTCTGGGTTTTTGTTTTTTGAGTTCGTGAATCAATTTCTTGTTTTTTTTTCCTCGGTTTTTTAACTTATTTCTGAGATTTTGTTTTTATTTTTGTTTAATTTTTTTTTCAGGGTTTTCTTCTGGGTTTTTGTTTCATTATTAGTTATTGATTTTCCTGGGTTAATTAGTCGATTTTGGATTTTTTGAGTGTTTTCATCGATTTTAATTCGATTTTTAATTGATTTTAATCGATTCTAAGTCGATCTCCTTCTGGGTTCATTCGATTTAATTCTGGGTTTTTTTTTTCTGGGTTTTTTTTTTGAGTTCGTGAAAATCAATTTGTTTTTTTGAGTTCGATTTAATTCTCATTTTGTTTTTCATTCTCGTTTTGAAAATCAATTTGATTTTTAATTAAGTTCGATTTAATTCTCGGGTTTTCACTAATTTCTGGGAATTTTGTTTAATTTTTTTTTCTGGGTTTTTTTTCTTTTTTTTCTGGGTTTTAGTTTTCTAGGTTATTTTTCTGGGTTTTTGTTTAATTTATGGGTTTTGTTTATATTTTTGTGTGTTTTTTCTGGGTTTATTTAACCGATTTAAATCGATTTATGGGTACCAAGCATATTGTTCTGGTTTTAATTTTTATTTCGCAGCTTATTTATTTTATTTAATCGATTTTTTTTTTGTTTGATGCAGGTATATTGATTTAGATGTAGATGTTAAATCGAAGAATAAAGATGCTGGATTATTGATTTAGGTGTTATATGGGTTATTTTTTAATTTTAATGTTGTAATTTTTTTTTGGTTTTTTATTGTAATTTTTTTTTTTTGATTTTAATGTTGGAATTTTAGTCTTGTGTAATTTGATTAATTTAGTTCTTTTAAATTGGAATTGTTGTATGAGTAATTTAGTTGTAGTTATTAATTTAGTTTTTTCACTCTTAAAAAGTGTACAATTACTTGATACTGATGAATATATATGTGTTTTTATGTATTTTACATATATATATAGTTTCTACTACAATTTAAGTGAAATAAATGCAAATTTTTTGTTTTTGTTTTTTATGGGCATTATTGCCACCGGTTAACCGGTGGCAATACTTGTTAATACCATTAAAAAAAAATTACGGGAAGCATTATTGCCACCGGTTAATATTTGTTTCTGCCACCGGTTTTGAACCGGTGGCTTTTTATTAAGATTATTGCCACCCCCCAAATGGCCACCGGTTCAAAACCGGTGGCATAGGGGGGTTTTGAACCGGTGGCCAATTCATATTTTCGTCTAGTGATATAACCTTAAAAAAATGTTGCAAAAGACCACCAATTTTACAATTTTTGATGCAAATTATCACCATTTCAATATAAAACAATTGATAAATTTAGCTTAAAAATTGGTATTTTGCAACAAAAATTTTAAAATTTGTGGTCTTTTACAACATTTTTTTTTAAAAGGTGATTATATGCAAAAAACAAGATTTAAAAGGTGGTTTTTTTGCAAAATTTCCTAATAAGTAATGTGGTAAGTTTGAGGATAGCGAAGAAAGTAAGGGGTTTTGTTTGTGTCATAAAAAAGTAAGGAGTTTTGTAGAAATCATTAGTTAGGCATTGTTCACTTTACCTTAAAAAGATAATATTAAGTAAAAATAATTTCAGATCAATAAAAATAAGCTTCGATTCAGCTAAAATAATTTTAGTTTAGTAAAAATAAGTTCAGTTCAATAAAAATAATTTTAATTCGGTAAAATCAGTAATTTCAAAGAAGAAGCATAACATAGAATAAGTAAAAATAATTTTAGTTCAATAAAAATAAAGTGAAGTGAACGGGGCCTTAATAAAATATTAATAAAAAATATAAAAAATATTATTAAAAAGTTGAGAAAAGTAACTTTAAAAAAAAGCAACTATTTGATTAATTTAAACACGGATAAAAAAAGAAAAATATTTCATTTATTTAAACATGGGGAAAGTACTTCCTCTGTCCCATAATTTCATGCCTATTTCTCAAAAAACACGATAACTAAGGAGAATGGTGAAAGTAGGAAAATATTCTATTGGAAAGATAAAAAGTAGAGAATATTGTATGAGAATATTGTATGAGAATAATAAAAAGAAAAGAATGTTGTATGAAAAAAAAGAAAAAGTAAGTGACAAATTAGAGAAAGAGAAAATGAATGGGTTTTTATTATTGATCAATATGTAGAGTATTTATACAAAATCTAAGCTTATAAGATAAGAAATAATATTCCTAAAAGATATAGGTCTTGTTTGGCAATTGGTTGTTTGTTGTTGTTGTAGGCTGGTTTGATTATTGTTGGTTTGACTGGCTGTTTGTATTGACTTTTTTGTTGGTTGTTTGACTTTTTATTAGTCTAAAAACATGTTTGGTAAAATTAATTGTTGGATGTTATTAGTAGCTTAGGTAGCCAAAAGGTACTCCAAGTAAGTTTTTCATTTTGGCTTAAAAGCCAGCTAATAATAGCCATTTGCCAAACACAAATTTTAGATGTTTAACCAAATGAGAAAGCCAAATGTCAATGAAAAGTCATTTACCAAACAAGCCTATACTAAATACTATCTTAACATAAAATAAACCTAAATATATTATTCTCTTAATGATATCTAATATCTCTAATAGTGAGTAATGATTTTTTGGGTGTATAGGTGTATTTTGTATAGAAAAGATAAAAAGTAAGTAATGATTATGTAATATATTTAGAAACAGGCACAACATTTTGAGACACCAAAAAAAAAATAATACTAGCACAAAAAAATGAGACGAAGGGAATACATCACTATGTTGGACAAGTAGTCTTATTGACATAGGTTGCATTGCAGCTATAACTTGCATCAACATGGTCCCAAAACCGAAGAAATTTTTTTTGCTGAAGTTGTCATATGTTGGCTAAGATGAAAATTAGTAAAGTTGTTTCATATCATATAACTAATATATAAAGTTAAAGTTTTAGTCAGGTCACGACACAGTGACACTTACCGTTCCAACTTTTCACTGAATGTCGCGCCACGTTGAACAGATTTATATATACTTCTAGGATTAAAAAAAAAAAAAGTTTAGAAATCTATTTTCAATCAAATTTGAATAGAATTTCAAGATAAAGTTGTTAGTTTATAGTTTTATTTTCGATAACATACAAATATTTCAGATATACAAATTGAATTATAATTTTATTCTTAAAAAAATTTAGATTATAATTCTAAAAAATTATCATATGAATTTATTTTTATACCATAATTTTTTTGGGGGGGGGGAAAAGTAGTTCAAAACGTAAAACATCCATTATATATATACATATATATATACACATATACACACACACACACACACACACATATATATATATATATATATATATATATATATATATATATATACACATATATATATATATACACACACACATATATATACACACACACACACACACACACACATATATATATATATATATTAATCGGTTAAGATAATTTACTTCACAATCTAATATAGTATAATTTTATTACTATGTAAACCTATCAATCAGAGTCGGGTCATGAGCTGAGTCATATCCGATCGGATCACTAGCTGAGTCATATCTGATCGGATCACTTCAGGTAACGAGTCTATTAAGAATTGTTCAACCCTTGCCTTAAAAATTAATAAACAATCCGCGCATGCACAGGGTACAAAATTAATTTGTAATAAATTTATTTGTTTTTGATTTT